GGGGGCCGTGACCCCGGCAGTGACACAGCCTTGCCCCTGTCCCCCAGCAGAAGCTGGTCTGGACTGGCCCGCAGGGCGCCCGCACTGCCCGCGGCCCTGGTCAGCGGTGCTGGGAAGGACTCTGACACTGTCTGGGGGGGTGACCTGGGGGTTGTGAGCTGGCTGTGCGCTCCCGTGGGCCGAGCTTGGGCTCTGGGTGCGAGGCAGTGCCCCGGGCTAGGAGTGAAGGAACCCCGGCTCACTGCCCTCCCCCCACTTCCAAAGTGTTGCCTCATCTGTAAAATGGGCGCAAGGAGCCTTTGAGCTTGCTGCCTGCCTCAGGCGCCTGGGCGGGAAGGACTTTTTTGGCCAGAAGGTGATGCGGAAAGTGGATCTGGAGGAGAATGCGCCTGACCTCCACTTTGTCCAGTTTACTGTCTTATATTTCTTTGCCTTGTGTGTTATCTCCTCCTGCACCCCCCCTTGCCCCATCACTTCAGGATTCCTAAAGACTTTAAATAGTCCAGAAACTCACCCCCTTCTCTTTAGCATCTTTTAAGATCTGTAGTGGTGATGGGGAGATCTGGACCCCTGAAAGGAAAAGCCCTGAACTTTGTGGGAACGTTCAGGGGCTTTTTCTTCCAGGGGTCCAGATCCCCCCAACTGCAACGTTGATTTGTTACCAGACCAAGAAAATACCCTTTCCTTTGGTCTAGCGTGAATGGCCATGCTAAGGAGCCTGCTCTGCCTTTTGTAATAACTTAAGCATCCTCCTTTTATAAATCAATGTGCCTTTTCTGCCCCCAGCCCCATCTTGCCCCAAACTGTTCTGTCTGAAGCATCTTGGTAGCTGAGGCATTCATTGGGAGGCACAGGTGTCCATCCCTGACTGATGGGGAGCGCATAAACTGCAGCAAACCTGCCTGCCCTCTCCTGTGCAGTGACCAGCAGGGTGTCACTGGATAGAAGAGAAGGTAAGGGGAGTGAAGTGTAAGAAGATTGGAAAGGCAGGAGGGGGCCAGGTTATTGAAAGGCTTTGAATGCCAAGCAGAGCATTTTGTGTTTGTTCCTGGAGGCAATAGGGAGCCACTGGAGTTTACTGAGTAGGGAGAGTGATGCGGTCAGACCTGCACTTTGGGAAAATCAGTTTGGAGGCTGAATGGTGGATAGATTGGAGGCGCAAAAGCCTTGAGACAGGTAGATGCCTTCAAAAGTTATTGCCATAGTCCAGGCATGAAATGATGAGGGTCTGCAACAGGGTAGGGGCAGCATCAGAGGAGAGAAGGAGGTGGGTTGGGGAAATGCGACAGAGGTGAAATGGACCAGAGATGCAACGGGCCAGAGGTGAAATCCATCGGAGATGCTGTAGAGATGAAGTGGATCAAAGATGTAGCAGAGGTCCATTGGAAAGGCCTTGAGGCCATGTTGTGTAGGGGGAGGTGAGGGAGTGAAGAATCTAGGATGACTGAGGTTGGGAGCCTCAGGGATTGGGAAGGTGGTGGTGCCCTCTACAGTAATGAGAAAGGTAGGAGGGGGGAGGGCTAAGTCAGTCAGGAAACATTTCTTAAGCACCTCCTATGTGCTGAGCAGTGTGTCAAGCCCTTTGTAACCTTGGGGTTATGAAGAAAGGCAAAAGACAGTCATTGCCATCAGGAGCTCACAACAGCTTGGGGGTAAAGTGAATTCAGTTTTCGATGTATTGAGTTCAAGACGTCTAACAGTACATTCACTTTGAGATATCTAATAGTCAGTTGGAGATGCGAGTCTAGTGCTTAAGAAAGAGGTAAGGGCTGGATAAGTAGATCCGAGAGTCATGCGTGATGATAAATAAATCTGTAGGAGCTGACGAGGTCACTAAACACAGTAGTTTAGAGAGAGAAGAGAAAGGGCCCAGGACAGAGGCTTGTGGCAGTGTTCTGACCCACATGAAGATCTGGACAAAGAAGGAGCAGTCAGGTAGCAGGAGAAGCAGGAGGGAGGGGTGACAGATAGTCACCGGGGAGACGAGGCTGTTCTCTCCCCTTTAGCTGTCCTACCAGCTTCCTCCTCTTACCAGGGCAGTAGAAATTGTGGTCCATTGTGAGTGCGAGTGTCTTTGGTTTTGCAGGCCTCCGTGACGTTCCAGGATGTGGCTGTGGACTTCACCTGGGAGGAGTGGGGGCGGCTCGCCCCTCCTCAGAAGGAGCTGTACCGGGATGTGATGCTGGAGAACTACCAGAACCTGGTGTGCCTGGGTGAGGAGGGCCACCCCTGGGACCAGGATACACGCTGGGGAGGGTATCAAGTGTTGGGCGGGTCTTGGGTGCCCTCGGACGCGAGAGATCCTTGGGACCCAGAGACGGGACACTGATGCTTCCTGACCCCAGGTGCGCCTGGAGCCTGGCAGCCTGATTACGTCAGCCTCCACTCTCTGCCCCATCAGGTCCAAGAACCTCCCCTCTCAGCAGGAAGTGGGTCCCGTGAAGCCATTTTCTCTCTGACCTCTTATCCATTTTGGAAAGGCTGTCACTCAGTGGTCTTTTCTCCTGCCCTTGGGGTCTTCCTGGTGTGCCCCCCTGCTCCTCCAGAGACAGGAGCTAGGATTGACCCCGAGGTGGGAGGCTTTCTGTCCTGAGCCTTTCCCTGTGTCCAATGGACAGGACTGGCTGCGTCCACACCAGAGGTGATTGTCCAGCTGGAACGAGGGGAGGCGCCGTGGAAGCCTAAGGGAGGCGGTCTTGGAATCCATCCTCCAGGTGAGTGATTCGGCCCAGGCGGGAACTTTAGTTTTGGGACCTTCAGGGTGTTGGGACATGTCTCCAGGCTTAAGGAAAGGGGTGCCCCAGGAAGGATAGATGTTCTCTTTCCCCTGTCTTCAAGGCTGAGTACCTGTAGCCATTCTCTCACGTCCCCTTCCTCATCTGCAGATAAATCACATGCTCATCCTGGATGTCTGCTTCCATGCTGCATTCCCATGTTTTTTCTCGACCAGCTTGTGGTCAGTGTGGCCCTTTATGGCTGTCTTTGTTCCGGGCTCTTCCCATAAGCCTTCCCATCCTCCTTTGCATTCTCCAGAGGGTGTGACCAGAGCGCCTGCAGGCCCCCAACCCCACACCCAGTAGGGCACAGGATGAGGGAGTCAGTGGGGATGGTAGCCCCTTGGGGGCTGGCCTTTTCTCCCCAGTGGATTATTATTAAAGGCCATGAATTTCCAATTCATCCATCCCTCTCTCTTCCTTAGCCTCGCACATCTTTACTTTTCTTTATGTAATTGAAATCCATTTCAGTAATTTTATTCTTTCTTTGGTGGCAACGGGAACGTCACAGGTGCGCAGACAGTGTTCTTTCATCTGGGCTTGCAAAGGCATCATCTGCTCCACTTGCTTTAAGTGACTTAGCTGCCGATTCACCTGGATGAGGCCGTCTGAATCTTCTGAACAGAAGCAGCAGGAAGGGAGGCTTTCTCTAACTTAGGCCTCCTTCTTTCCAAGTTGTAGAGAAGAGTTAGTAGTCGCTCAGGTGGATAAGAGGCTTCCAAACCTCAAGCAGAAAAACATCTTGCCGTTTTTGGAAGAGAACGATTTCTTTTCTTTTCCTTCACTCTCTAGAGGTGAGAGTGGTAGAAGTGCCATATTTGTGCGAAAATTTCACCAAGTGAAATCCCAGGGGATTGTAACCCCTCAAACCCACCTGGACCTTTTTTCATTTAGAAAAACATTCCAACCTCCACCTTTCCTCTTCTCACCCTGTCTCTTTGCATTCCCTGCAGAGATGGTCAGTAAATGTTTCTTAAGCACCTACTGTGTGCCAGGCACCGGGCCAAGCGCTGGGTATACAAGAAGAGGTCCCTGCCCTCAAGGAGTGCTTAGCTTGACATTTTTGGCAGAAAAGTCCCCTTTCCTCCCTGATCTTAACACTCATCTCCCACTTAAGTTTGGCCACAGGGTCAGTTGAAGTCCCCGTTTGTTGCGTCAGAATTGGCTGTTTTACTCTTTGGGATTTGTAGAAGGTCCCATGCAGGGGCCCGGATTGTTGGCCTTCGAGATCACCAGAGCTTGGCCAGGGCGGTGTTAGACCAGCCCTTCCTGGGACTTGTTTCCAGTTTGCTGGAAGCCTGAGAGGGCTTTTTCTTTGGATCTCATGGATTAGAACCACTGACCACTCCACGGCAGAATTCTGTCATTATTGGGCCAGGAAATACAGAGGGTCTGTTCAGGAAGATTGATTACTCAGGTCGGAATTGAGGCTTATGTCTGCTCTCTATTGTCAGTGATGGGAGTCCTGCTGGAGGCTCCTTTAGCTTAGACACAAGCAGAGATTTAGACGGGGGAGGCTCCACGGGTCTGGTGATCACACGCAGACGGGCAGCTGTCTGGCTTATCTGCCTGCCAACGCTGGCTTCGGAAGAGTCTGGAGCAGACTTCCCCTCCCCCAGAGGGACCATCGTCTGCGGGTGGCCCGCCGCTGGCCCCGGCGGCCTTCCTCACCCGGCGCCCACCGTGGTCTCCTCGCCGCCTTCTCTTCCCGTTCTGCTCCTTCTTGGTGACCCTCGTAACCTCGTTCTTCTCGGATGTGGTGGTCTGCGCCCATCAGGCTCATTTTGGGCGGATGTTGGGTTCTTTATTTTACTGCCATGTGGTCAGCCCAGTGGCTCCCTGTCACCAAGTCCTTTGTTGGGCCCATTCCTACATTTCCAGCCTTCGCTCCCCTCCCCTCACTGATCCCAGCTCTGACCCACCTGCTGATCTTTGTATGTGGGGACCCCATCTGCTGCCCCATGCCTTTGTCCCGGCTATGCCTCCTGCCTGGAATGCCCCTCCCCCACACCTGGCTCAGGAAATCCTGACTCAGCCACTTGCTGTCTGTGACACTGGGCAAGGCGCTTCATCTCTGCCTCAGTCTTCTCAGCTGTAAAATGGGAGTCCCAGTAACTTACCTGCCAGAGTTGTGAAGCATTTAGCACAGTGCCTGGCACATAGTAGGGTCTTAACAAATACTTGTTCCTTCCCACATCACACTGTATCAGTCTTTTATCTTCTCAGTCAGCCATCAGTGAGCATTTAAGGTCCTACTATGTGCCAGGCACCAAGCTGGGAGCCGCAGAGTTAGCATAGAAAGAATGAGGCACATCCTGGGTCTAGAGAGTGGTGGTGGCAGGGAAGGTCAGAGGAGGTATCTTGTGGAGCATGAGCCTCGGAGGAAGCTAAGGGATGGTGGCGAGGGAAACAGCCAGGGCAAAGACCCGGAAACGGGGAGCCATGTGTACCAGGCAGAGCGATTGGGCATGGAAGGGCGCGAGGTGTAGGGAGGCTCCGGGGGGTGAAGGGCTTTCAGTGTCAAACAGCATTTTGCATTTGGGCCTGGTGCAGTAGGGAGCCTCTGGAGTTTAAGAGCAGGAGGTGACAGGGTCGGTCTGGCGTTTTAGGAGAGTCACTCTGGTGGCTGACTGGCGGATGCACCACAGGGGGCAGAGCCTGGAGGCAGTCAGACCCCCGGCCCCAGCAGCTTCTGCAGTGGTCCAGGAGTGAGGTGATGAGGGCCTGCGCCAGGAGGGAGGTGAGAGAGGAGAGGAGGGGGTGGTGTATTGGGGAGATGACGTTAAGCCAAGAGGAGGAATTGAGAATGACCCCAGGGTTTTGGAGCTCAGCCCCTGGGAGGGTGGTCACCTCTCTGACATTAATAAGGAAGTTGGGAAAGAGGGGAGGGGTCATTGTTGACTGTCGCTTGTAAATGACTGTGTGTTTTCCACTCTTCTTTTAAAATTCATACCTTATTTTTTAAATTAACAAGCATTTTTTTTCTCTCTCTCATTGGAAAGAGAAAGGAAAAACCACATCCTAGTAACACGTGGGTATTGTCAAGCCTGACCATTCCCTGCTGGCCACGCGAGGAAGTGGACTTGTGCCTCAGTGCTGCCCTCCTGGGCGATGCCAAGGTCCATGCATCGGTGACCCTTATGAAGATTTTGTGTAGACAGGACAGTGGGCACACCCGTGTTCTCCGTGACTGTTTCACTGTCCCGGAGGTCCCTCTGTTCCGTCCCCCTCCTCCTTCCTTCTGTCGGCATCCTCCCCTCCTGGGATGGAGGAGGGCTCTCTTTCCACTGGATCCAAACCTGCTGCTTCTCCCCTCTGGGTTCCCTCGAGTGCTGGTCCTGTCTTCCCTGTAGCACCTCAGGGATCGTTGGTCAGGGTCCAAGGGGAGTCATTCGGCCTGGAGAGAGGAGACGGCTCCTCGGCCTGACTCACATGGGTCTCTTCCGTCGGCCTAGTTTGTGGTCCCACCACCATTTTGTCCGTCAGTGCTCCGGATGAGGCTTTGCTTGGCTGTGTTGCCAGGCTTTCTTTGGACTGGTTTTGGGTCCCCCCACCCCACTTTTCTCTGCTTTTTGAGATGCCCCCCCCATCCTTCTTTGTCACGTTTCGCACGAGTTCACATTCTAATCCCTGTTTCCTCCGGCAGCCCCTTCAGTCCATTTGGTAACTGCGTCAGAGGCTGGCTGCCCAGATCGTTCTCTGGATCCTCGTGGCTTTATGCTGGTCAAGCTTTGGTCTCTCTTTGTTGGTTTTGTGTTTCATTTCAGCTTTGAAGCAGCTCTGCATGAGTTGTTGGGTTGTGCGCCACGCCGCCGCCTCCGCCTCCTCCTCCCGATCTTTGGTCTGACTCTTCACAGATCAGGTTTAGCTCGCCCAACGGGAGCGAGTCTCTTCCTGTGACCTTGTTGGCTGCTCCTTTGGTGCCGGCCAATCCTCGTCTCCAGAAAGATGTCGAGATGGAGGCTTCAGTCCCTGGCTGCCTTCATTCCTTGCCACAGCTGTGTTGTCCGGCAGGCCTTCCCCCTTTGTGCCAAAGTCTCCAAGTATCAGTGTCTGTTGATTTGGAGACTCTTCTCCAGGTTTTCCTAGGATTTCACTCAGGAGTTAGGGAAAAAATTAAAGAATTGCTGAGTAGCAATGACAGTATGGTGGAGATAAGATAGCGTACGGTTGTAGTGGACCTAGGTGAATCGCTTTCTCCAGGAATGTTCAGGAGTGTGAGAGTAGGCCTGGAGGAGATGATGGTAGGAATAATCCAGACCTGGAGTTCTGCAGGTTCTACCTGGAGATAAGACAAAGGGCAAAGCATTGTAGGGTGGTAATGTTGTGGTGGGACTGGTCAATTGTAGAGTCAACTGTGCAGGTAGGAGTGAGGCCAGAGAGGGGCAGGTGGCTCAGGAGAACTCAGGGGAGGGGAGACTGAAGGCCATGGTGATGGCAGATGGGTATAGGAGGGGTGAGGCAAAAGGAGAGAAGGTCGTGGTCAGAGGGAGGACTTGCCTCGTTTGGGATCATGGAGGTAGAACAGCTGTGGGGGATGGCCATAACGTGACTGAGTGGACAAAAGATGGAGGTCACGGGAGGTGGGTGAACTGGAAGGCTAGAGTCTGACACGTGTGCTGGAGCTCCGCATGGTTGGGTTAGTGAGGAAGACCATCTGATGCCAAATCTCCTGAGAAGGAGCTGAATAGAGGTGGGTAGAGCAAACCTCAGAGGAGGAGAGCTTCCTGCCTGATGTGGACAGAGGGCCAGTTTGGGGGTGGCATTGGCACTGAGGGAGAGTGCTTTCTCTTCCTCTTCCTCTTTCTGGCCCAGGAATCTGGGAACACGAGGAGAGGAGTAGCTGGTCCTGCGGGCAGGTGCCAGGGCTGCATTGCTTTCTGGGGAGAAAGAACCTGGAATGGTTTACCGTGTGGCTCACAGTAATTTGGGAGGTTTTTTTCCCCCCGTAACTGCCTTGTTTATATGCTTTCAGCATTTATCCTTTGGGAAATATTTCATAATCTTAGAAATTTACATCAATTTATTATAGCTCTTAAATGTTAGGTTTGAGCAGAAATATTCCAAAAAGAGGTTTTTATTGATGTTTTGTTTTTACATCCCCTATATTTCTTACTGCTTTCCTCACCCTACCTCTTTGCAGCGAGTCGGCTCATCATAAAGAAGGAAAAAAAGGGAAAAAACTCTGGCAAAAGCTAATCTCCATCTTGAAAAAGTCAGACGTTGTCTGCAGTCTAAGCAGAGCCTGGAAGAATGCTCGTTGGGTCTGTTATGGGAGAGGTCGATTCCTTTACTTACCGATTGGACCAGAGGCTTTCAAGGGCCTCCTGCCCCCAGTTCTGGGCGTGTCTGGACCCCCACTTCATTGGGTGAGCAGAGGGCAGTGTCTTCTCAGGTCCCTTTGGGGCCAACCCTGTCATCCCCATTTCTCAGCATCCAATTTTGGGAGGCTTTGGGGGGGTCGTTCTTTGCGTTTGCACTGTGCTCATTGTGTATGTTGGTTTCTTGGTTCTACTTACGTCTCTTGTAAAAGTCTTCCTAGACTTCTCAGTATTCAGTACATCGGTTCTTAAAGCGTAGTAATCTTCCATTATGCTCATGGATGGCAATTTGTTTAACTGTTCCCCAGCTGATGAGCATCTACTTTGTTTCCAGCTTTTTCCTACCACAAGTCACTTAACCCTGTCTGCCTCAGTTTCCTCAACTGCAAAATGATGTGGCAAAGGAAATGACAAACCCCTCCAGTTTTTTTGCCAAGAAAACCCCAAATGAGGGGCAGCTAGGTGGTGCAGTGGATAGAGCTCCAACCTCGGAGTTACCTGAGTTCAGATCTGACCTCAGACATTTGACACTAGCTGTGTGACCCTGGGCAAGTCACTTAACCCTGATTGCCTCACCAAAAAGCAAACAAACCAAAAATCGAGTATATGCCTGTGTGCTCTTTGGGTCAAAGGGTATGGCCATCTTAGGTACTTTCTTTGCATTCTTCCAGATTTGCTGGCCAGTCCACCAACAGTGTATTTTTAGTGTGTTTGTTTTTCCATGGTTTCTCCAACATTGACCCTTCCCATTGCCAATGTCTAACCAAAATACTGATGGCAAAGATTCCTCCTGTAAGATTATGGACATGGTTGCTTCTCCCACTCCTTATGATTCCCTTTTATCTTCTTGTCCATTTATTCTTGTTATTACTTGTTGTCTGAAGAAGCCTGCAGGCATCTGGACCTTGTTCTGGTTGAATCAAGCCCAGAAACATTTCAGAGCCTCCAGAAGAGCATTGTAACCACTCCCAAAGAGTCAGGTCTGACCGTTCCAACAGCAGATGAAGAGCGGTCCTTGTTCTGAGGATGAATGACCTCCCATTCCTTAGCCCAGGGCCAGAATTAAATGCTAGAAGGAGAGGGTGTGGAACCTCCTTCGGAAACTTCAGCGGCTTCAGGCTCCTTTTAGAGACAGAATCTGCCTGTTTAACACCAGTGTTCTGCTGGCGAGAAGCAGGAAGGAGGGGAACAACCAGGCACTGTACTAAACACTTGCAAATGTTTGACCTTCAGGACACCCCGGGAAAATGTTCTTATCCCCATTCATTAGTTAAGGAAACTGGGGCAGACAGTTAAGTGACTTGCCCAGGATCATATCTAGTAAGTCTCTGAGGCTGGATCTGAACTTAGGTCTTAGTGGGTGGAGATGTAGCCTGAGGATCGGGAAGACCGGGGTTGAAGTCTCTTCCAGTATATCCTGGGCAAATGACTGGAGCTCAGGTGATCGAAGGCTGTAGGTTGCTAACTGAGTACTAGCCTTTATTGGCTGAGGGAGGGTCCACATTTGTCAGTCCCTGTGGATGGTTGGTTTGTTTTGGTGAGGCAGTGGGGTTAAATGACTTGCCCAGGGTCACACAGCTAGTAAGTGTCAAGCGTTTGAGGCTGGATTTGAACTCGGGTCCTCCTGACTCCAGGGCTGGTGCTCTATCCACTGCGCCACCCCGCCGCCCCTGTCCGTCCCTGTGTTGATGAAAGGTCTAATTCAGACCCTATGCCTAGTCTGTGAGTGCTGATAGTTGCTGAGTACTGGAAAAGGAGTCACCCAGAAGGGACCGGAGGCCTGTGGTGATGTGACCTGTCTACAACTCATGACAAATGAGGACCTTTGAAGAAGAGGTGTAAAGGGTGTCATCAGGAAAGCATGTGGTTAAAAAAAGATGGAGTGGTCACTTAAGGGATCACAGGAGGACCACCTGAGGGCACCACCATCTTCTCACCACGTTAAGAGACAGAGAGGGAAGTCCCAGCATGTTGGCTCTCTGTGCTGAACTTGGGGATGCCATGGAGGGGAGGTCTGTAGGTTGGACACTCTCCAAGGGTCTGGTTTAACCATCCCCAAAGGAAACACCAAATGGGTGAAGAACGATCATTGCTCTGACCTGCAGCCGGATGGACGGCTTATAACGCATCTCCTAACATCCCAAAGCAAGGGAACACTTTTGGCCCCCAGCAAAGATGAGTGTGTATGGGTGTGTGAGTGGCCTGGGGTCTGCATTACTGAAGGGAACATCTGCATTCGTGAGAGCGCAGACCCACTGGAGCATATTCCATTCCTGGGCCAGCTCTTCCCATTTGAGTAGGGCTTTATTCTTCACTCATGTATTCATCCTCACCTTGCAACATTGGGAAACAAATTGCTTCTTAATCAGGTCCTTTTAAAAACGTCATCTGTGGGCCATGTGCTGAGTTTCTTAATCTGGGTTTCAAATGAGCCTGGGCCCCTCTGGAGGACAGAAGAGCGGCCCAGAAATGAATGCAGGCACACGAAGAAAATATCAAAATGCATGCCACAGATATATGTAGTAAAGGGTAGATTAACTGAATGCAGACAAAATTATCGCCTGGGGTGGGTGGAATTAATGCAGGATTGATTAGCAGTGTTTTCTTTCACTTTTTTTAAACTCTTAGTTGTTCATCAATGATGAGGAAGGAGAATTTAGAATAACAGAATCTTGAAATCACGAGGATGGTTGGGTTAACAATGAAGTTTAGCTCATTACTGAATGCAGTAGTCTTGTCTCCATCCACCCAATCTTACTTCTGCTTCATAATCTGGCATCTACCAAACTTTCAGCTTTATTTCCTTTCTTTTTAAATTTTCATTCTTATGCTTTTTTAAAAATATAACCTTTACTTCCAGATAGGTGTCCCTCCCTTACCTACCTCAGGCTTTTCACAGCTATCACTGGGGGAAGATTATGAACAAAACAAGATATAGAAAAGGTCACTAAAAAGAAAGTAGATAGAAAAGTAGAAATCAGAAAACTTGTACATAAGCAAAATACAGGGAGGATAGAAAGGGAAGATATTTAGCGAAATGTCTTTCTATCAGATATCTCTGATTAGGGTCTGATAGCCAAGATATCTAGGAATTTAACACAAAGATTTAAGTCCAAGAGGCATACTCCAGTGGACAAGGGATAAGAGATCAAAGGGTATGAACAAAACCATTAACCGTATCAAAGATGCAAATTATTAATGACTAGAGAGATGCAGATCAAGATGAGTTTCCCAAATTGGTATTACTCTCCTTCACGCCACGTTCCCTTGTTCACTTTGACCAGTCCAGCACCTTCTCTCTCCCAGGTGGTGCCTTTGCAGAAAGAAGTCTCCTTGTCTCTGGTGTTGCACTTCCTCACCTCAAAGAACTGCCACAGTTCAGGTGTTGGCATCTACACAAGACACTTCCCAGGCTCCACACTTCCACTGGCATAGTTAGTTTGCATAAATGTGTGTATACTTATGCATGTTGCATTGTCCTAAGTCAAATGTAAGTTCCTTGAGGGCAGGGGTGGTTTTGTTTTGGCCTTTTGCACATAGTAGGTGCTTTATTGGTGTTTTAATCTAACCTCTGCTGAACTCTTCCCTTATACTTTAGTTTTCTCTTGTGGGTGGGTAGGATAGTATGCAGAAAAGCCACTGGGATTGATGTTAGGAGAGGCTGATGGAGTCCTTTCCATGCTTTCATGAGTATGGTAGCTATGTGATCTTTGGCAACTTGTTTCATCGCCGGGACTCAGTCTTCTTGGCTATAAGATGGTGACCTTGGTTGTTTTCTTTGCTCCTGATTGTGAGTGTATTTAGTCTGCACCCTACCTGACCTGTTGAGCCTTCCCTTGCAGCCAAGAAGAAAACCCAGAAACATCCATACAGACTCTTTCTGATGGGGTTTAGAATGTTCTGGCCTCATCATCTCCCCTCAAAGAGAGGCAGTCTGGGGGTACCCCTCCTCGGCAGACCTTTACTGTCCTTTCCATCGCTCAGGGTTCAGTTCCCTCTTAGCAGGCTCTGACTTCTGTTATGGTTGCTATTGCTTATTCTTCTTAGTTCTGATTTTTTCTGAAAAGCTGAAAGTGGCCCCTGCAGCTTCTATTGAGGTGCCGTTCTTTAAGAAAACATGCGGAACAAGCATGCCTCCTTGTATTGGGATTTGTGGTGCAGTAGCAGAAAGCACAGTGGACCTGCTCTTGTGGTGACCCCAGCTTGGACTGGCGCTGTCCCCTGGTGCCAGTCTCAAAATCTGTAAGGGGCTTCTGTTCCTCATCAGTTAATATGATAACTGACTTATTTACTGCAGAAGTCTGAGGATCATTGTGAAAGGTTTATAAATAACTTGTGACTAATAAAAGTCTTCAGATGGATCCTAGAGCCTGAAGACACTTCAGAGGCAGTCTGGTCTGAGGCCCTTAGTTTAGATGTGAAGAACCGGCTGGGAGTTTAAGGTCACTCATCATGGTGGGATTTGAACTCACATCCTCTGCCCTGAGCCAGTGTTCTTTTTAATGTACTGCACTGCCTCCCTTCTGCATCGATTTTCAAGTCCCTGCTAGTAATGTAGATCAAAACCCATCCATGCCTCTGTCCACTATGGTTGTTAGCCACGTCCTCCCATGAATGCACCATGTAGGGGTTCCTGCCACATGCTGAAGGCCTTCCCTGCTTTCTCTAAAGAATCCCACTGGAGCATTCGGGCCATCTGCCCCTCACTCCTTGCTCTTGATGTATTACCTGGTCATCTTTTCTTCCCGTCCTTAACCGGGCTCTCTGAGTTATTCATGCCCTCCCCTCAGAGAAGGTTTTTCCTCTGATCTGTGTAGATCTTGTATGTACCGGATACACGTTTGCCTCTTCATCAGAATGTGAACTTCCTGAGGGCAGGGACAGCTTGTGAACTGCCTTTGTTTTTATCCCCACTGCTCAGTGCAGTGTCTGTCATGCAGTAGGCACTTACTAGATTCTTGTTGGCTGATTATTGAGTAATATCTTGTTATTCCAAAAACCTTTCCTCATCACAACCCTACAAACATAATGGGTTTTCAGTATTTCTCACTTTTAGTCAGTAAGCATGTTTTCTTTTAAATAGTATCTACTTTTTCCAGTCACGTGTAAAGACAATTTTTAACATTTGTTTTTTAAATAAAATTTTGAGTTCCAGGTTTTCTCCTTTCCTCTCTCCTCCCTAAGATAGTAAGTGATTTGATGTAGGTTACATATTCTGCGTAGTCATGTAAAGCATATCTCCATATTAGTCATGTAGTGAAAGAAGAAACAGACCAAAAGGAAAAAAACCATGAAAAATAACAAAAAAGTGAAAATAGTGTATTTTGATCTGCATTCAGACTCCATAGTTCTTTCTTTGAATGTAGATAGCATTTTCCATCATGAGTCTTTTGGAATTGTCTTAGATCATTATATCGCTGGAAATTGCTGAGTCTCTCATAGTTGATCTTTGCATGATGTGGCTGTTACTGTGTACAACATTCTCCTGGTTCTGCTCACTTTACTCATTATCAGATCATATAAGTCTTTCCAGGTTTTTCTGAAGTCAGCCTGCTCATCATTTCTTATAGCACAATAGTATTCCATTACATTCATATACCACAACTTGCTCAGCCGTTCCCCAGTTGATGAGAATCCCTTCCATTTCCAATTCTTTGCCCCCACAAAAAAGCTGTCAGTGTGCATTTATTGAGCAGCTGCTATGCTGTGCTGGAAATGCAAACAAAGGCAAAAAACATGGTCTCTGTGCTCAGGTAACTCGTGTTTTATGCGTTTCAATCATTTTTCCTGATTGGTGAGACAGAAGACTGGACTATGTGTGCAGCGATAGGAAGAGGGGATATTTTACCTGTTTCTTATTTCTTTCAGTTTGGGAGATTGGGCCTGAAAAGGAGGAGTCAGTTACCAACGTGGGCCTTTCTCTGGAAAAACCATTTTCAGAAAGTTTCATAAATAGTGATGTCTGTGTCTCCAAGTTGGGAGAAACCTGGGTATGTGCTACCAGGTTAGAAAGGCAGCAGAACAATGAAGATACACCTAGAATAGTAAAAAGTACCCCAGAGAGACCTCTTAATGAAGTGAGGGGCCACGACCATACTCATTGTGCTAGAAGTGCACATCTGGGACCAGTTCATTTTCCCCAACAAAGAATATCATTAGGAAATAGTCTCCCTAAATGTGATACATATGGAAGGAGCTTCAGACTATACTCAGCCCTCAGAAACTGTAATAAAATATGCTCAAAAATTTTCCCTAAGTATAATGAGGGTAGGAAGTCCTTCAGTTATAATTCCAACCTTATTGAAAACCATAAACTGCATACCGAAGAAAAGCCTTATGAATGTCATGACTGTGGGAAGGCCTTCCGGTGGAGCTCACATCTTGCTCAACATCAGATAACACATACTGGAGAGAAACCCTATGAATGTAAGGAATGTGGAAAGGCCTTTGGCTTAAGTACAGGACTGACTCGACATCAGAGGATTCACACTGGAGAGAAACCTTATGAATGTAATAAATGTGGGAAAGCCTTCCTTCTGAACACAAACTTTATTGTACATCAGAGAATTCATAGTGGAGAAAAACCTTATGAATGTAATGAATGTGGAAAGGCCTTCAATAGGAGCACCCAACTGACTGTACATCAGAGAATTCACACTGGAGAGAAGCCATATGAATGTAATGAATGCGGGAAGGCCTTCCGACAGAACACAGTTCTTACTGAACATCAAAGGATTCATAGTGGAGAGAAACCCTATGAATGTAATGAATGTGGAAAAGCCTTCCGCCAGAGCTCACAGCTTACTCAACACCAGAGAATTCACACTGGAGAGAAACCTTATGAATGTCAGGAATGTGGGAAGGCCTTTCTTCTGAGCACAACCTTTGCTGTACATCAGAGAATTCACACTGGAGAGAAACCTTATGAATGTAATGAATGTGGGAAGGCCTTCAGCTGGAGCACAGAGCTTGCTGAACACCAGAGGATTCACACTGGTGAGAAACCTTATGAGTGTAATGAATGTGGAAAGGCTTTTTGCCAGAGCTCTCAACTGGCTCGTCATCAGATAATCCACACTGGAGAGAAACCTTATGAATGTCATGAGTGTGGGAAGGCCTTTCTTCTGAGTACAACCTTTGCTATCCATCAAAAAATTCATAGTGGAGAGTAACCTTATGAATATAATAAATATGAAAGAGCCTTCAATTTGAGCAGTGACTTTACTCAACATCAGATTGGATAGTATGTAATTAACTGTGTGAATGTGTGAATGACTTTGAAAGTCATCAACCAGAGCATACAACTGTACATAAGATGTTCCACAGTAGGAAGCTTATTATAAATGAGGAATTATAAATTCCACAGCTAATGCCTTCTCAGTATCGGTTTATACTGGAGAAAGAACATCTTCAGTTAGTGAACAGAGCTTACTCAACATCCTGAATCACAACTTGCACAGCAGATAGGGAAGAAAGCTTTATGAATGTAGTGAACTTGAGAAAGATTTCGGCAAGAGCTAGTTTTTGACTGAAAGTGAATAAATGCAAACGATAAGGAGACCCTATATTGGAAAATCTCTAACTTTTACTGTTCTCCTAACCTTGAGCTTGACCTCAGCCATCTCCTTCTCTTATTTGCCATATTTGCAGCGGCTGATTTTTGCCCGCACACTCTCAGTAAGTTAGGATTTTGTCAGATTAGCTCCATTTCTCCGAATCATGAGCCATTTTCCCCTCCTTCCTTCCATTCCCAGAAGAAAAGATATACTTGCTGTTTGTAAAGCAGATTCTTTTTCTTGATCCATCCTCATCTGCCTGTTCCAGCAAGCATTCCTTTCTTGTGCTTTTTCATAACTGACTCGGGTCTCCTCAGTACTAAGGGGAAAAAGACCATTCCTGCCCCTCTAGTCCATCCAGACTGTTCCATCTCCACTCTCTTCCTTTTTTTGCATCTATCATCTGAACATTTAGCAATTGAGTCTCTATCCCAAACATTTCACAGAATTAGCTCAAGAAATGTAAGACTCTTGGGGGCAGCTAGGTGGCGCAGTGGATAGAGCACTGGCCCTCAGGAGGACTTGAGTTCAAGTCCAGCCTCAGACACATAACACTCACTAGCTGTGTGACTCTGAGCAAGTCACTTAATCCCATTGCCTAGCCAAAAAAAAAAATGTAAGACTGAGCAAGTGGCTGAATGAGAGGTTGTCTAAGCTCTGCTCTCCTCCATCACATGCCAGAATTAAAGAATAGCCAGATAAAACACCACCTAAGAAAAATCATTGGGATAAATAGCAGAAATGCCAATAACAAGAATGATTCAGCAATCCCAAAGGGCTTACAATACAAGGAGTAACTGCTATTCAGTAACACAGAATCTTTTGAAGATGGAAAATGAGAGGGAAAGCACTACTGTAACTACCACAAGGTCTCTCAAATCAGGGAACAAGGAAAAAGGCTTCCAGAATGGTTTCAGAAAGGCAATTTTAAAAAAAAGAATAAGGATGGAAATTAGAGTAGAAATTAGAATTCTCAGAGATATAAAAGACTGACAAGAAATAGGTAACTTAGAGTAAACGGAGATTTTCTTTAGAACTGTTGATTCTCTGAAAAAGAGAAACACAGATCTGGAACCCAAAAGGGAAACAACGGAAGGATTTCAGAACAAAATAAGACTTCTTGTAAGAATATCTAGTTTCTCTAGAAGCCATAGTAACTGACCTTCAAGAAAGGATGCCCCCAAATAATCTGAGAATTAGAGGTTTTTCATAAAATCACAATGAAATAAACTTCCTGAAAACCATCTTTTAGTAAAACAAAGATGAAAACTGCCCCCCCCATACTGAAAATGGAGTCAAGTATGGATCGGTAGAATCCATAGATTGTTACAAGAGAAATTTGAATTTTAGTTTCCCAAGAAATGTTTAAGTCTAGCTTCAGAACTCCAACATTAAACAAAAATTCTTGCAAGCACCCAAGAGGAACCGTATACATTTCTAAGGAAAAGCAAACTGAGTTGCACAAGACCATTTTTTATTCACAAGAAATAACAACAAAAGGAATATAATACTCTGAAAAGCATAACAGATTAGTTTGCACACCCAAGTAACTGTATGCAAAATTGAGTTTGACCATCAGTGAAAAGAGGTTGACTTTAAGCAAAAGAGGGGAATTGGAATTTCCTTCTGGAGAAGCCATGGGTGAGCAAGACATAGGTGTGTCAATTGGTTCACATCCCTATCAAAGAAATTTGATGAGTCAGTGATAGATGGCATGATGTAATGCATAGAAGGTTACATTTGGACTTAAAAGAACTGGGTTAGTCTTCTAACATTTTCTGTATGATCTCAGGAAACTGTGTCCCAGGTAACTTTAATGCTGAGTTTTTCTTTAATTGCTGATCTGCATCCATATAACAAAACACTAAAGAAGTAAAAATTTTTATGTCTACAGAGCTAAAGAAGACTATTTTTTAAAAAAAGATTATATTATTTGTGGCATTTTTCTTGGCCAGTGCCTTGTGGGACTACGGCAGCCCACCTCAGCATTTCTTGTGACATCGACATCTGAATTTCTGCCTGTAGAAGTAAGTCCCAGCAATGGGCGGGGCCCCTTTATAGGTATGGATACATTTATTACTGTATCCTGGAATTGATCCAGGCCATGCCTCATTTTGAGAGATTCACTTCCTAAGAAGGAAAAAAAAACACTTGGATTTTGTGTAATGTATTATAAATCTTTGCATGTTCGGTTGTCTTTGAAGAAGTTCCTAATGACTTGTGAGCTCCTTGCTGGCCTATTAACAGTCCACTAGGTATTTTTCTTCTGTTGTGACTTGTTAGAAGCCATATTGGCTTTGAGCAGTTCCCCTTCTTAGTTCCTCCACACACACATGAAAATGACAGTAGCTTTTTCTATAATCAGGCTCCGGATAATTATTAACATCTGCTCTCTGAGGGCATGCTGCCCAACCTAAGATAACAGCTTCCTTTCAAGATGTCTCATCTTTAAGGTAATTCTAAACACTGGCCCAAGACAGGCCTTCTGTCCAGATAATAGCCACCTGTGTCTAGGACTACTGAGGATGTTGGTTGCAAGCAAGGGCTGAGTTGCCTTAAAGACCAGTTATTTTGGAAAAGACAGACTATAGGCTCAGGTACATGTATCCTGGTCAGTGTGGTCTCCAAGTCTTCAAGGTCAAACCAAAAGGTGAGAACTTGTCTTCAGAAGGTGAGAAATGAAGGCTTTTCTCCAAAAGAAAGAGTAAATCAGGCTCCTATAATGCTGCTGAAGATGCATTGTTGCCAAAGCTCACTTTGAATGACATGAAAGACTAAACCAGGAACCATCATTGGCTTCTGGGGATTATTGAAGGTTGTTGCATTTCAGCAGTCAACATCATTTTGGGACCCAGCTGCCTGCGCTACATCCTTCAATAAATCCAATTTGAATCCTACAGTTATGTGTGGTATTGGGATTTGCTTTTGTGGATTTAGTGGTGTTATTCTAAGAATTCATCCATTTAGAGAGCTCTTGCTGCTAAGTTTTGGGGAGTGAGCAGAAGAGACTGATCACCCCCATCCTTTGAAATTAGAGCCCCACCCAACCCTTTTTTTCAGGTCTATTGAGAGAGCATTTAGGGGTGAATTTAGAAAAGCAGGTCAGACAAAAGGGAAAGATAGGAAAGGTATACAAACTGAATAGTCATCAAACTAGAATTCATATTCTTATTTGAGAATTTAAAAAAAAAACAATTTATTGACTTACACAATAAGCCTTACAACTTTGTACATCTTTAAAATACAATTTGTAACATGTTCTCTTTTTGCTGCATTCACTCATTTTACATTTAGACAGAGTCCATAAGATTTTGACACATTCGCTAATTTTTCAGCAAACCACATTTGTATCACATTGGATATTAAGTGTTCTTTTGAGAAAGTCCATTTTCCCAGGCTTAATCTTGATTTTAGCCCACAGGATTTTAAATAAATTTATTTTTATTTTGAATTTAAACAACAAATAAAATGGGTATTTTCATATGCAAAGTAGAACAGAAAAAGAGGATTGTCCTCAAGCTGTAGATCACTATTATGTACTGTTTGCCTTTTGAGAATAAATTCAACCTTTGGCTTTCAAAGCTGTCCTGTTTATCTGTGCTTCTTGCTTTATATTCTTTGCATTTAAAAAAGATCCTTCCATAACCTTTTTGATTTTTGCTACTCTGTCTCTTCTCCCCTTCACTGCCCCCCCTCCAATTCCTTCATTTATGGATGATTAAAGCACCATCCCCTAGCACCTTTCCAAGTTTATTATACCACCTTTGCCTGGACCAATATCTACTAGAGTCCCTTAACATCTGGGCTGAGCTAGGTCTTTTACCTGAAAAGCTTTGGAACTGTCTTCAAGACTTAATTGGTCATGTGGCTAACAAGATGGAGGATTAAGTATTTTTTTCTAATAATCAGGATCTCAAACCTTTCCAACAAAAGGAGATATACTTAAGAGACAGGCAATATCAGCTGTCTATACTCCAGCTGTCTACATACCAAGAATATGAGATAAAAACCTGAAGGATTAATACAAGCAGCACCAGGACTGTGATGACTGTGACCCACATGACACTTGTTCTGCAACACAGGTCAAGGTCATCTGTGCAGAGGCCCAGTGCCGCTGCTGACACCAAGGCTTTTCCTGTGCCATTGGTGTTCCTTGGCCCACCAGCAAGGGCATCGCCTTCCCTAGGCTCCTCTACTGCAGAGCTTCCCCCTTTTACCTACGGCCTGGAGCAGCCTGATGGGTCTTGCTTCTGGTCCCTCCCAGTCCAGTCCATCCTCTCAGCTGCCATCGTGCTCTCCTTAAAGTGCAGATATGACCGTTGGTGCCTTCCTACTCAACTCGTGCTCCTTGCAACTTCCAGGATCAGATGTCAGCTTCTCTGTTGGGCCTTTAAAGTCTTTCATAATATGCCTTCATCCTATATTTCACTATTTCCATTTGGCACGATTAGCCAGCTCATCTTTTTGGTTCTTCCATTCCCTAGCAAAACAGTACAATCTTTATGGGGGGGGGGGCGGCGGTGTATTTTTACTGAAATAGAAGACTTCCTAGCACTCCT